AGAGAGCTATGAGTTGCCTCGCAGGTCCGCACCTCTGTCATTCCGATTGTTCTTGAAGTTCACAAACACGGAGTCCACATTGGTCTTCTCCTCCACGTACTCCAGTGTTGCAGTCAAACTAGGAGCCAGAGAGAAAAACGTAGTTAAGGAAATGTTCTGCCAACTCAGAATCCAGACAGACACCAGCTCAGAGCAGAACTCACACTGGTCAGTTTTTGCTCTCTGCCCACACCGGCCAGAAAATGAAAAGTTGTTAAACCCATTTTGGTAGATTTTCTTCTGAAACCCAGGGTTTGCATGCTACTGGACTGGGGGCACAAGCCACAGAAAGGTCTGGGGAGGAGGGACAAGCCTATTAAGACAAACGGCTGGGAAGCACTTCCTGTCATTTCCTCTGTTTCTGAATCTTGAGTCCAACAACTTCCTGTGAACTGTTCTCCCCAAACCCTGGGTCCTGGCTCAGCTCCCAGGCTTGTCTCCCTGCCAGCTGAATGGTCTGCATGTATCCCGGCACCTGAATCAGCCCCACGTAGTAATTATAACAGAAGAGTGACATCTCCCACCTCTGCCCTCCCACTCCTGTCCAGGCTCAGTCACCTTTCCCGGTTGCCTTGATCCAGGGCTTGATTCGGGATATCCAAGAAGAGCTGATGGTCACGGAGAAGGCCGTGCCAGTGGGTAGAGGTCTGAGGGGTGAGGCGGAAGTGGAAGTCTAACTGTACTGAGTCTTGATGGAGCAGGGGGTCCGTAGCTAGCACTGTCAGGTTCCCAGCCTGGAAAAAGAGTGAAAGAGTAATTGCTTCCTGCTTGTGCGCCATGCGGTCTTCAAGTCTCAGGCAGATTTGAGCTTGTCTATAGAAACGAGGGGGCTGATGGGAGAGCCTGGGAGAACCAAAGCTGCAGTGGTTCCCTTAGTCCTAGGAACTAATAGCCATCCCTGATGCCATCTTTGGCATCAAACTGTATAAAATTAGAAGCTGCTGCCTGTTGACCTCACCCACAGAGTACACTAAACATTCAGAAACAGCAACCTTACTGCAGAGAGCTTATTGTTTAAGGAGAACTATACGGTCCATTTCCTTCCTGATAATACTCTTCCACTTTTTGCATTATATGGGTTTTTTCTAAATTTCCCTATTTCCCATTTAAAACCCAGATGTTGGGCCATCCCTATGGCCTAATAGTTAAGGAAACCAGATTCCATGTGGTCAACCATGGTTCACATCCCAGCCCCAGAGGGTTGAGAAACACCAGTCACACATGCATGTGTACACAAAATCCCAACTGGATGGAAAAATGGAGGCGAATGGATTGCAGAGTGACCGCTCCCCATGTGGGGATGCTTCTCCCACCCACCTCTGTCCCTGGAAGGCACACACCCTCTCTGGCAAATTTAAAAAAAAATAAATACATGAAACCATAGAAGTCACAACCAGACATGTTACTGCAATGTGCAAGGGAGAGTGTGGGAGTTCTGGATTCTGGGCTCAGTTTAGCATCTCCTCAGCTCTGCGTCCAAGAAGTCCCAATTCAGTCCGTTTTCCCTGTGCTTCCACTTCCCCTTCCCAGCTGCTTTTCACTGCCAGCTGCATCTCTAAGATCTCTGGGCCAGAACTCTATAAAACAAATAGCTTTTACATATGAACTCTGAGGGCCTATCTACCTGTAACTCTATGATTCATTTACTACCTAGCTAAGGTTCCTCCTCTGCAAGGCATCATTACTGCCAGCCAGCAAGGGGCTGCCCTGGCTCCCCATCTGCTCACCGAATACAGTTCTTGCAGCTGGCTGTGGTCTTCTCCCTGGCCAGTGCGTCTGCCCACCTGGAGGCCTTCTGGGGACTCAGGAGCACTGCAGGCAGTAACGGGGCCGGAGTGTCAAGTCCTCCTCCTCCTTATAAGTGATGCTGG